CGTTCCCGTTTCCATGTCCTGGTTAGACGGTCGCAGTAGCCATTCCTGCCGGGTGCTTGTTACCATGAGTAGGCAATATAATTGTATGTAATCTCCTGCTGGAAGAATAGAACTATCATCCTGATAGTTTTCTTGGTCCGTTTCGTCCTTTGACGGATAGAAGGAGCTTTTTTTCATGGGATTTAGTCATCGATGCTTACAAGCTAACCTTTCCTTATTCGGTTTCAATATTCTTTGTGCCATTGCGTTACCTTTTTTGGTGTGAAAAAGTGGTGATTCGGAGTGGGGGGGGGCGGTCGTGCTTAGCAAACAGACACATATAGTTGCCAAGCTTTGACAGCTTGACTGGTGTACTGCCACCTCTCATCTTTTATGAGAAAAAAACCAGTGCGTTGTAGGGGGTGGAGCGGGGGGTGGTGTATGCGTATTTGGGCTGCTCAGCTCTGTCAGTCACCTGTGCTTGACCTCCCCTTCTGCTTTCTCGGCTCTTTTTTGTTACCCGGTCAAAATGTTTACGGAAGGAGATGGTGCGATGGATGCAGCGCAGGTCTCATATATTACTATAAGCTACTTCAAGCGCAAGACAACTTCCCAGTTGCCAACGTTATGTGGCACACATATAGGTGTTAAGGCTAAGAGGGTTAACCCTAACGGCTACAATATTCGAGGCCCGGTTCCTTGGGAGATGGGAGAAGTCTTGGGAAGGCAGAGTAGACGGAACAGTGTATTATTTGCCAATAGGTCTTGCAGGGCGTCCGACCGTGAGGCCCGTGGGACAGGGTGGCGTCGCCGACCGCGTTGCGCCTGAGCGGAATCCCAAGTGTCCTCTGACCGCAGTCATACAGGGCGGCCGCCGAATACTCGCTTTGTCTCGCTAGACTGGTTTTGATTTGTTGCACAGCGCAAGGTGGGCACAGGCGAGACTGGGTGTGTTCACAAGTGGCTCAGATCATTGAGCGAGAATGGACAGGGTGCCGTTAATTAGCGCCTAACCACAGGCGGCATTAGGCGTGCAGGCCACAGGCGTCATGCGTCCGATCTTGGGTTCCAAGTGGCTGCTCGGGCGACTAC